TTTTTACAGCAAAATTAAATGCCATGATAAAATTTGGAGGTGTGTCTTAATTGGATTGTTTAAGGTTGCAACCTTATAGAAACCACACCCAAAATGGAAAGTATAGAATGAGAACATTTATTTTTTATACAAGGTGGCCACATTAACCATTGGATATAAAATTGAATGGGTGCAATTATTTCGTCGATTAAGTTAAACTTCAAAAGAAATTTTCTCGAAGACATCCATGCTATCAAATTTCACATCAAATGGTTATAAAGAATCGTGACCGCCTTGTATCAAAAGTAAATGATCTCATTATATACAATACCATATAAAACTATAATCCTTGTATAAAATAATTTTTTTATTTTTAATTAATAAACCTGATGTGGGTCCAAATAACTTGGACCTAACTAAGGGCGGGTCCCCGTCACCGGACTCGTAGCCACCGAGGGAAGCCAAAAAAAAAAGCTCAAAATAGCAGCTCCGCATTTTTTTGTTTTTTAAATATTCCGATGAAAAATTATAAATGATATCCGCAAAATAGAGAAATCCGGAGATATCCATTATAAGTCCATTGACTGGAGAAGGAAAGAGAGCTCGGGCTTTAGGCAATGGCGGCCATTAGAGTTGCAGCTACAGCTTATGGGGCCCTCCATTCTCCCCTTTTCTTCAATGGAATCAACAGGAATTGGTGCCTTCTCTCTGTTCGAAGAAAGCCACTGTCAATACCAAAGCTCAAGCTTTTGCCCTCTCGATTCGACACCAAGAATGGTTACAAAACTTTCAGAGCTATTTATAGGCCAGAAGTCGAGATCAAAGAGGAGGGTCAGCCTGAGACTTTTGATTACAGAGTCTTCCTTCTCGAAAAGTCTGGCAAAAAGGTCTCTCTCGCTCCCTCTCTCTCTATCAGTAACTGCTTCACTCTCACTAGCATTCTTTCTATGTCTCTGTTGTAGATATTAGAAGGTTTTTTTCTGAAATGTACCTTGGATTCTTTTTTGGGCTCTTTTGGAAATTAGCCTTTCTGTTTTGTTTGTGTACGATGGTTTGATCCTCCTTTTTGTTTTTTGTTAGTTTTGGGTTCATTCATGCTAAATAGTGAGATCACCTTTTTGTTTTCTGTTATTTTTGGGTTTATTCATGCTAAATATTGAGATCACCTTTTTCTGTCATTTTTGGGTTTATTCATGCTAAATATTGAGATCACCTTTTTCTGTTGTTTTTGGGTTTATTCATACTAAATATTGAGTTCAAAGAGGAATTGGTAAGTTGTTCATGAAATCAGTAGACAATGCTTTTGATTTAGGCCGTATAATTGTACTCTGTTTGTATTTCTATGGGTTGGGATTAGTTTATATGCCTATTTCCTTAGATTTTGTTGATTTTGAATCGTAAGAACACTTGAATTTCCTTTCGAATTGAGTTTCTGTACAAGTTTGCTGCGAAGCATGTGGAGACAATTTGTTTTTGGTGTGGAAATGACCTTTATGATTTCACTCGGTCTAGGTTGGGGAGACAGATATCTCACTGAGTAGAATTCAGTTATTTGTGGTCCCACCTGTTGTCCAGTTTTTCACTATGTTGGCAATTAGATAATCAAGGATAGTTTTCTCACCTGTTGGGCTAGTCGTTGTCTAGGTTTTGGGGTTCCAGGTAGTTAAATTTTCTCACAGGGTGGCTTATTGGAATGACTTTGTTCATCATTATGATTCCTTGAGATGTGTCTCATGTCAACCGTTTCTTGGGATGTGTACATTATTCCTTTATATATTTATATGTACTTATTATGTTGTTTGGGATGTGATTGTGGATGCCTTTGTTGTTAGTTTTATAGTTGGGGTTAATTGAGTCGGTCCTTTGTTCTGAACTTTCTATTTCCTTTTACTGCTGGGATCAGAGTATATGGTAGGAGAGGAAACTATAGGTCGTTTGAAGTGGGAGATGGAGGCATCAATGATTAGGAAAGTAAGAGCAGGTATGTTTTGCAATGGGTAATAGTCCATCCTCCCTTCCATGTTACAGCTTGGTGGGAGTTTCACTAGGTAATCCTCTAGTTATTGAGGACAATAGCTGATGGTTGGCTTTATGAGTCTCTTTTGTATCTTATGTTAGGTCAAAATTAATTAAGGTGTGATTCTAAAAGGCTGGATTTTTCTGCCCAATGTCAAGGAAGTCCAGTGAAATGCTACATAGGTCCATGTGAGGAAGCCGGCAGGACGTACCAAGGTACGCACCTGTTACTGGGAGCTTTATGCAGGGGATTGACATCTACCTGTTTCTGAAAGCCACTTATATGGGGGGTTTCATTGTAATGCTACTTTTCTCTTTGGGGATTTCTTAATCTTTGGGTTTCTAAGATTCATCTCTGGCTCTGGAGGAACAGTGGAGATGGGAGTATTTCAATTTTCAACCCACTCTCAGAGGATAAGCTCAGGATCACTTATTTTAATGCTGATAAATCAAATTTTAAAATTAATTTACATTGCTTGATTAGTTTTATTTATGTGTATATGGTGGTCTTAATCTCAACCCCTTTATTGCAGGTTCCAGTTGAATTTTGAAAAACGATCCACATGCACGTACACACACTCATTCATACATGTATCGGGTTGTTCATGACTTGGTCGAAAGTGATAATGGAAGCAACATGTGGCTGCTCGGTGCTTTAGGCATACACATATCAGCTAATTGCTTCCTGCCATGATTCTATGCCATCAGTCATGTAATGCTGATCATTTGTTTTGCTGTTATCAAGAATTATAGCACTTATCATTTATGTTGATTCCTGGCACCTCTTGACCTCTTTGTTACTTTTGTAAGCCAGATTATGGATAATTAAGGGTTGTATGTTGTTCTGTATATTATGGTTCAATTTAGATTATTATTTTCTTGGGCCCTACTGCCCTACTAAGTCTTAGCTTGAATATTAAACCTTCTCTTTGGTGATGTGCATACTCAGGTTCATCTGCTGCCAACCATAAATTCATGCTAGGAATCTATTTTGGCAAACTGTATTTAGCTGGAAGTACTGATCTGAGATTTTCTATTGGCTTTCTGATTGCTGTGATTTCAGTTTGAAGTTATGTTCTCTGAGTTCCTGACTACCTGCAAGTGACAATGTTTTATTTCTGGATTGTAAATGTGTAGGTTTCACCTTGGCATGACATTCCATTGCACTTGGGTGATGGGGTTTTCAATTTTGTTGTGGAAATACCTAAAGAAACGAGTGCAAAAATGGAAGTTGCTACAGATGAACCATTTACTCCAATAAAGCAGGATACAAAGAAGGGAAAACTTCGATATTATCCGTAAGGAAAATTTTGACTTAGCTGAGTGTGCTTTTTATTCCATAATTCAAGATTTATATTTGGCGTGTGACTCTTGAGAAACCTCAGATTTGAGCTACTGTGCATTGTGCATGTTATGTCTTTTATAAACAGTAATAAGCATAATTATTGCATCTAATTGTTCATTGATTATCTAAAAAATGTTTTGAATCCTCAAATGGGCCACAAGTCATGTTCTTTGTGTTGTTTAATTAAGTTTTAGTCCTTTGACTTGAATAGGGGGGGTGGGGGGGGGGGAGGTTTTAATCATTAACTACCTTCTTATTCATTGAAGTTTCTTTCTTTAATTTCCACCCACAATTGTACTGGACTAAAGAGTGGTTTAGCTGTGATGTTTGGTTAAGGGTTTGCATTCTTCTACGCTGCATGCCTGCGTTACTGCCTTGCATGATGTTTCGAACTTATTGCTGTTTGGTGTATTCAGGTTAGTCGATTGATGGTAAAAATGTGGCCCGCTTCTTATCCATGAGTATTCCATTTTACTTTTTCATTTTGATACGTTTTGGATGGCAATGGGGTTGGGGACCCCTATCAATTCATTAGTTAACAAACAAAGCACCACATAACGGAATAGCAATTACTTATTACATAGGCAAGCCAGGCCATTGGCTCAAAAATCTATGATTAAATATTATCTATCTAGTTCTGGTTTTTCTTTCCTTTAAATTTCAAACAACATTATATTTGTTTGAATCACATCAGAAGTGTTGGGGTTTGTGGCCTTTAAAAGCCGTGAGAGCATGTAAAAGACATTTATAATGTATTATACACTTCAGTGGGAGTGCGTATTATTTGACTATCCATGGCCCTTATTATGCCTAAAACCCTTACCCCTGGCTATGTGGTACTATCGAAAAGGGTTTACAGAGGGTCATCCCTTGTTGAGGTCAGAGAGATGCCGAGGGATAGGACTGGAGAGTTGTAAGATCCCTTGTATGTGGATGTAGGCTTGTGAGAATGATTGTTAAATCCTCAACAAACTTCTGCACGGCAAGTACATTTGATAGCCGCATTACTGAAAAGCAACCTTGAACTACGTGTACATGTGCATAGAGAGAGTCCTCCTTGTACTATAGTGATATGTGCTTGACTTGCTCTTAAAGGGGCAACTGTAATCGATGTTTTGAGACTGTGGTTCCACTATTTATTGGCTAGCTTTCACGGGCCAATCAGAAGCCCTTGTTGAGACTGTGAGTTATGGGTTTTGTTGGGTTGGTTTAAGAAAATAGTTGTGGAGCATGGCCATTGGGTTGGGTGGAGTGCCCTCATAGTCACTTGGTTTTGACCCATTGGTACAATCCACTTCTAGATGTTTTATTTTCAGCATTAGACATGTTTATGGGAATTTTGGAAAAATTTTCAGAATTTTTTAAATTATTTCTTCTGCAATTTCCTTGAAAAAGGGTATTTTCAAAATTATATCAGCAAGGCAAGGCACATGTGGGGGCCATTGGATCCATCCCCACATGTGTGCCACCCCATGGGTGGGGGGTGGGGCCTATAGGGGCCACATGTCACCCATAGGGATGGTATGCCCCCCTTTTTTTTTTTTTAGTTCTTGTTTTAATAAGCATGGTTAGAAAGTCTTTTTAAAACGAAAAGAAAAGATTATGTGTGCCTATTTTTGTGGGAGTTAGTTTTGACCAAGAATATTAATTTGATTTCCTACAATTAGAGATTAATAAGGAAGTTCTATAAGCTTTTTAATTGGTCTACTCCTAATGAAATTAGAAGTGGATATGGGTTACATATTAAAAGGATAAAATTCCTAGTATGCCTCCTAAAATCATGATGGCTGATTTGTGGGTTGGATGGCTCGGATTTATTCTCTCATGTCATAGATTTCCTAATTTACTTTTGGTTAAGGGAATCATTTGATAGGCATACCTAGGGGTTCTTCAGGTTTATATAAGGAGGTGTACACGCCCCTCTCTCTCTCTCCTCCACACCCTAATTTTCGTCTCTCTCATCTCTATAGTGCCTATCTCTCTGCTCTCTCTCACCATTAGTGGCATGCAACCACAAACAAATTAGAGAGGGTGGCATGCCTATCCCTAATTAGGGTTTTGTAGAGAGATGACCCTAGAAAAAACGGGGGTGCCTTTTTTGAGGCATGCCCTAATTGTGTTTCTATGCTCTCTGAAACCTTAGTTAAGAGGTATTGCCTAAGGAAGCTTCTCGGCTCTGAAAATTTAATAAGACTAATAGGATTGAAGTGCACCATTGGTCTGTAATCGGATGTGGGGTCAAGTAAGTCTTCCCAGTTGTTTATGTTTGTTTTTCAGTCATATTTCCATATTCTTTGTGATTTTCCAGGAACATTATCTGTACGCAAATTGATAGTAGAAGCTTGGGTTTTATTCTTGGATTGTGTCTATTTATTTCTGTAGCAAAAGGAAAGGTCCTAGGTTGTATTTAGGGTTTTAATTTTATTTACAGCTGTGTATTGTGGCATTTGTAAGTGGAATTTTATAATAAAGAAGAGAACAAATTTTCTTGATTTTATAGACTTGAATTCCACATAGCCATTTCTTTCATGAAGCATGCACTTCCTGTCCTATGCCTAAGTCATGCTCTTTTAAATCTATAAGAATTATATTCTTAAAATGGAACACCTTTGTTGGAAGAGTTACTCTTGATTATTGTGATTCATGCCTGTTCTTTTGGTGATTTGGATCAATACTTGCTATTTTATTGCATTTGTGTGTGCACATGCCTACGTTTAAGTCGACATGGTATGTCCTTGTTCGTTTTGAGAATACTATCGTTTTTGGTAAAGTAATTTTCCCTTCATAATTGCTTTTCAGGTACAACATAAATTGGAATTATGGATTGCTTCCACAGACATGGGAAGACCCATCTTTTGCTAATCCGGAAGTTGAGGGGGCATTTGGTGACAATGATCCTGGTTCGTTTGCGTAACAATTATTTTACCATGATGCCATTCTTTTGATAAGGATCCTGATTGGTTTTCAGTATGCATTGCTTATTTGCAATACTTAGTGCAGTTGATGTGGTTGAGATCGGAGAAACAACTGGCAAGATCGGTGAGATACTCAAAGTTAAACCTTTAGGAGCTTTGGCAATGATTGATGAAGGGGAGCTTGACTGGAAAATTGTTGCTATTTCTCTGGATGATCCTAAAGCTTCACTTGTAAATGATGTTGAAGATGTTGAGAAGCATTTCCCGGTATGTCTTTCTTTCTTTTATATCCCGGATTCATTTGTAATTTATTGGTGATAATGAATACCGAATGTAGTAATTTTTGTGTTAACCTTCACGTATTACTCTACTGCTCCTCTTGTAATCAATCTAGGAGATTTATATGGGTATTTTAATGTTCATAAACTTGGCAGTCCAACTTGTACTCGCTTGATTCACTTGGAACTGGCACCCTGTCAGGTCTGGAGGGCTACAACTAGCTGTGGGCCCTTTTTTCTACTAAACTCCTTGGGTCACTCTATAGACCTGGGCAGTTCAGTGTTGGACAATGGCAGGTCTAATGGAGAAAGAAGAACAAGAAAAGAGAAACATAGTGTATCTACGAAAGGATAGAAAATGATGAGGGAGCTTACAAGCCAAGCTCCTTAGCCGTCTCTGGGTAAACCAGGAACAACCCCGAGGATGGAAATCAAAAGCTACCCCCCTTAGTTATTTATGGTCTTAACCCTAACTAAAATGTACCTTGGGCCATCTAGTTCAAAGCTTACTCTCATCCATACATAGAAAATAAAAAAGCTGGAAAAGACACTAGTCCCAAACTGAACATAACATGAAAATACCTCTTGCTACATGGCCTGCTCTTTGAGGGCTATTTGTGGGCCTCTCGAGGCCTTTTTTGGGAAAATTGGGTTGCACAACTGGCGGAGCATGTTGGGACATCACAGGCCTCTTAAAGAGGTTTCTGTAGAGTGCCAATAAGCCCAAGTATGAGCTAGGAGCGCAATATTAGTATTTTGAAGACTCGCTGCTCATAACCACCTACATCAAGTTCGCCAACTCTTAGCCAAGTTGCCATAGACTCGCTGAGTCTTACATTTCTTGTGATATAAAGGGGGGTGGAAAACCGTGGAGTGCGTCTTCAAGTTTGGAGCCACTAGGGTCCTCATTCAGACTCTGGGCTTAGGTTACAAGAACAGGTTCAAAGTCTGGGAAAATTGAAATTTTGATTTTTGATTTACGGTTTGCGTGAAACTTTTGCCATCTCCAAATCAAACTAATCCAAGCTCCAAGACTATAAATATTCTTTTTCTTTTTCCTTTTTTCGGGAGGAATTCACTTTATACATGTGCATATATAAATATTTTATATATGGAAAGTGCAAAAATTTCATGAGGCGTGAGTTTGAGGAAGCCCAAGCAGGGAAGCCCATTTACAGAAAAGAATAAGAGAAGAAAAGAAAAAAGACAGAGAAAGAAGAGGGGGGGCTCCGGCCATCCACAAGCCAAAAGCATGGAACCCAAGAGATCAAAAAAGAGATGTCTAGCCACCCACATGCCGGGTGCTAAAAACACTCAGGGAGGCAACCTACATACTAGGTGTTCATCCCAAAAAACCGAAGAAGGAGAGAAGAAGGAAGAAGTTGAGGACGAGCACTGAAAAAAGAAAAACAAAAAGAAGGAGAAGATGAAGATAAATGAAGAAGAAGAGAGGGGAACAAGAGAGGTGGACACGAGAGAAGAAGTGAAGACTCCCTGAGGGAAAGAGAGGGAAGAAAGTGGGTGAAAGAAAGACTGAAAAGAAAGGAGGATAGAGAGGAGATCGAAGAAGGGGGAGAGAAGAAGAGTAAGAGAGAGCGGAATAAAGAAAATTCAAAATAAGAGAGAGGGGGAGAGAGATACTTTAGGGGTTTTGATTTGTGACATTCTAGTGAGGATCATTTATGGCTTGGGGGATGGGCTTTGAATCTTTGGTTAGGAGAAATTCTGTTTTTTGTGAAGTCCTTGAATTGAAACTTTTGGACAAACATCACTGGATCTGTTGAGATCTAGTTATATTTTCTTTGATCTCATAATTTTGTTGCATTCTTCAAATGATCAATCTTTCTTTGAAATCGGTAAAATATAAAGGAAGTGAACAAGAAAAAGCATCATGCTATTTCTGTTCTCAAATTGTCCTATGCGGTCTAGTTTTTCTGGTTTTACTGTAAGTTTTTCTGTTTCTTTTTTTTTTTTTTTGTGGTGGACCTGGCAGGACTTGCCGAGCTGTCTCGGGACTCGGCGAGTCAACTAGCCTCAGGCCGTGCCATGTTCCCAAAGCAAGTCCAATTCTTTTGAGATTGGTAAGAATACATTGTGAAGTGCTGCAAATACCACTTTTATTCCCAGACAGCCTGACCTGTACATTAAAACCATTTACCATATATGAGAATCAAATTTTCAATAACTATTGAGGCTTAATTATCCCAATTGTTGTTGCTCATGACAATTCCTTATATTGTTTACGACTTACAAGTAAAGTGTTGCAACATTTGGTGTTTATGCATGCCAAAGAAGTTTGGGTGCAATATCCTACAAGTTTTCAGTTCCCTTGGAGTTCTGGTTCAGTGGTTTGTTGGGCACCATTGTCTTCAAGATTGACACAAAGAAATTCCTGTCAGCGATCAATTCATAAGTTTGAGATGCTTTGTTCTTATCCTCTCTCTAGGAGATTGTCACTGTTGCTTTGTAAAGCCACTGGCCACTTCAAGTGCTCTCACCATGTGACACTTTGATCCTCATCAATTGTATATTTTTCTTAAGTTGAAATTTTATCATGCAATGTGTAGGGCATTCCATTATTTTTGTATCTCTTTCCAATTTTGGTGGATTCACATATGCCTTTAAACAGTTAAGTTGTCAAAGAGTATTTTTTAAGGTTTTTTTTGCAAGGGGAAACCCCAGAGCTTCTTATTGATCTTATCGTTTAATCTGTCATTTCCTTTATTGTTTCAGGGCACTCTGACTGCAATTAGGGACTGGTTTAGAGATTACAAGATACCAGATGGAAAGCCTGCTAACAATTTTGGTTTGGGCAATAAGGCAGCAAACAAGGTATGCTTAATTTGTGAACTGGTCTATCAGCTTTCAAGAAAAATACATTCTACTTCAAAGTTAGTTCTCTAAACAACATGGAATTATAGATGCTGCTTTCTTAAAGGAATTCAAAGTTTGAAACTTGAAACTGAGTATCATACATATGCCTTCAATCATTATGCTTATCAATAAAAGGACTGTTTGTGCACTCATGTGCATGCATATATTGTGCTACTGGAGTTGCCTCTTTAATATAATATAAAGGGAGTTTGACAATGGGCCATATGTGCATGCATGTATGTGTTCTATGATATAGGGGAGTTTGACAACGGTGCATGGTCTTTATTGTTTGAATGGTGAAAGGTAGTAAAATTCCATTGTGGTGTTTTATATCATTCATTGGAAGAGCTATAGCTTTGAGTTTGAGGTTAAGGAGCTATAGTCACACTTGCAAGCTGCATGAGAAACTCTTTCTTTCATGGGGTACTTGTTTTCCTTGCATTCACATTTATCATTCCCCTAAAGAATATTCTCACTGGAGATCCTTTCTCTTTTCTTTAAGCGTTAGGCCCCATTATGTGTCAGGCTATAATGGATTATTCATTTGATTCACCATATGCATAGCAAAAATTACCTTTGCTTGAAAGGGGTCTTGTGCAACAGCGAATTTCCTCCCACCAATGGGTTCAAGCGATGCTAGCTGATTGACAGCCAAGCAATTTGAGGCTTCATCTTATGTTACCTGATATATTCCTCAGATTGTTGCACCTCTAAATTAGTAGTTGCCCGTTTACCCTCCATTTATCATAACTTTATATGAAAACTTTTACGATAAAAGTTGGCTTCCATATATGTCAAACTTTTTCGGCTATAAATTCCAGTGGAGGAAAGCAAAGAAGGAATGGTGTGAAATAGTAGATATTGCAAAGTGAGTAAAAATTGTTGGTTCGAACTGTTGGCTTAGGTTTAGGGGTCTTTTATTCTCATTTTCTCCAGTTGCATGTTCATTTCTGGCTTGGTCTCTTAATCCAAAGGTTGCTATTTTAATTCATAGACCGTGTGTATTAGTGATTAGATAATTGTTAGGAATGATGGTAGTTGCTCAACATTGTGGTCGAAAAAGAGGAGGGGATGGTAAAGAAATCATGTAAGTGTGATGAAGAGGAACCCATGAACTAAAATAAGCTGACTCATAAACCTGGACCTAAATGGAATTCATGGGATCAGCTGTTAGTTTTAAATTAAACCTAAGACTTGATTTAGCGTGATACTGAATGTTGATTATTATAACAAATTCGGTCCCTCCTACTCAATTAAATTCTTAAGTAAACAGTTTGTACTTGAAAATTAAGGAGAAAAGACTACATTTTATCTTAGTATGCTGATTAAATAGAATATGTACTCCCCTGACCTTTCCAGCTGTGTTTTGTGCTTTTGTGGAAGATCACTGCCATAATATTTCTCCTGTCTTGCTTGGCGTGCCACATACTACACTATCCATTCTGACTTCATAGCCTTTACCCTTCTGTTTCCAGATCTCCCAAACATGGCCTTTGAAAATGTTCAAATCGAAGCACATGTAATCTAAATAACTCCACAACCATTGAACTGCACAGTCTCCAAAATTTGTGAAGAATTTCACATAGATTAATGGTTTGAATAGTCAAAGCACTTGATTGTTTGGATACTCAGTCTTGAGAGGTCTCTTGTATTTTTGTTTATAGATCTTGGGCAACCTTTCAGATTTAGCCCCATTTTTTGTATAGGGCTCCCATTCGGTGGGAACCCTAAATTTTGGGTTGGTGCACCCGGCCTGTGGGTAGCATCTATTTTCTACTTGTATCTCCCCAACCTTACTAATAGAACAGTTTTAACAGTTCCAAAAAAAAAAACTATTCACATGAGAATTTTTTCTTTCAGTTTTGAATTTTATTAGAGAAGTTTCATAGGAAAATTATATACTGTGTCTTCAGCCCTTGCGAAGACCCTTAATATTGTCATCATACAGTGGACTTACTTCTGCCTTGGAGTTGGTATGTTTAATTAGAACTTTACCTGTAGTTGATGCCATTGTATTTGCTATTCCCATTGCATCCTTTATGTATACTTTCTGACATGCCTGGTCCAAGATTTTGAAAACTATTTTTACCTAGTATAGTGGCCAAGGACCGCTTCGTTATATTTGACTTTCATAATGGGCATGATGGCTATTATTTTCAAATTCCACCTGCCATTTGCTGATATTTAGTGCAGCAGCCAGTACCATTGCCGTTATGAGAGTTATTTTCGTGGTTTTTTGTCAAATCTTGTTCTTATCCATTGAGTCTCGATGTCTGATAACTAGCTCATTCTATATTGAAGAACTAGTTGTTCATTTTTGGTCCTTGAAAATTTTAAAAATTCCTCTTTTCAGCTCCGACACACTTTTGCAGAGGTCAAACCTGCATAACTGGGGTCAAAACAGCATACCACGGGCAAACTGCATAATTAAGTTTAAAATATATAACTGAGGTCAAAATGAATAACCGTGGTCTAGAATGCATCACTGAGGTCTAAAACTGCGTAACTGAGGTAAAAAATTGTGAAGTTTGAAATGAAGCTTAATGCTCCACTTTCGAACATTGAAACAATAGTAGCAAAGTTGAAGTTCCAAATGGAACGTAGCACTCTGCTGTCTGAAGTATAATTGTGTTCCAAAGAAGGAAACTTGAACTTCACCGAGACTCAAGACCTTTGAATATTGGACCCATAGGCACAAGATGCTCTGGCTGTCCTCGAGGTATGTAATGCCCCCCAACTTGGAGAGTCCAAGATTCAATTGGGTGACAAGAATGCCCCTAAGATACAACTTAGCCCAACAAAGCACTGTGTGGACTTCTCCAATTTTTACGCTCAGGAAAGTCCCTAAAATGATAGTACATGTCATGCGGCTGTTTGGAAGTTTGTTGAGGATTTGGTCCTTGCGCTCACAAGCCCACAACCGCAATCCCAGTAGCTTCCTCGCCTACAAATGTCGCCCCTCGGCATTTCTCTAACCTCAATGATGGATAGCCCTGTAGAAATCCCTCAATGGTAGTGCCAATGACCAGGGGAAAGGGTTTTGGATACAACCTAGGCTATAGACCACCCCACTTTAGGTCAGACAATCAACATACAGTCCCATTGAAGTGCACATTTACTATATTTACATGCTCTATTGGGATTTAAAGGCCCATGGAAATCTGATGTGGGTTAACCAAGTCCCATGGGATAACCCTGGGAAATTCTCACGAGTCTATTTTCTTTATTGTTCTGTTTTGATTTTGTGCAAGTGTTCATGAGAATGTGGCAGCAACTAGATCCTAGGGCATTGGTGTTGTTTTGTTTTGTATTTGTTTATGTTGTAAAAATGTATGAGAGTGTATGGCAGCATTGGTAAAATGGGCTCTTTTTTTTTTTTTGAATGTTCACATTTCTATTAATAAAAAGGAATTACAGTGTAGATCATGTGTATATAAAACATATACAAAGTTTGGCATACCTACTTGGCCGGAGCCATTCACAATACCCAACAGGGATCAAAGAGGAAAATCTCAAAAAAGCTCAATAGTGACACAGATTAGAAGGGAGGAAAAAAAGCATCTAAACATCGAGAGATATGTTGAGGCGAGCGCCATCCTTAGCTAAAGTTTCAGCAGCAGCATTCACTTCTCTGAAAACGTGATTCCAGGTGATCCTAAGGGAGCCACATTACTGCTGACACTTGGGAGACAAATCACATTACTAGAATCTCCTTCAATGGTCAGGGCAGGGAGCACGACCAGAGGCCCAAGAAATCACATTACTAGAGTCTCCGTCAATGATCAAATCCAGGTTCCAGAGTGAACTAAATCACATTACTGTAAAATGGGCTTGTTTGTACATGCAGTCAAAGTTACAAAAAGGTTTTCAAAAGTTGATACTTGACAAGTACACCTATGGCTGCTGACACTTGGGAGACAAATTTGCCAATATTCTTTCTCAATTGAATATGAGATTGAGAATCACGTGGGTTTATAGATGGCCTACAACCAAAGTGATCGAATATTTTAAGAACATTTTCCATATAGAGTGATTAACACGTATCCAATTGATTTTCTCACTATTTTGATTCCAAGAATCACATCTGCTTGCTGGATATCCTTCAACTGAATTTAGAAGACGATAGATACTTTGTGTCTTCAATGAATGCATTATTACTACCTAGCATGAGCATATCATCTATATACAGCCATAACACTAATTTAAAACTTTGTCATGTGTGCATCTATTAGTATCAGTGATGGAGAATCCACGCGAGAGGATTACTGTATCGAACTTTTCATGCCTTTGTTTTGTTGCTTGTTTGAAAACCATCCAAGGATTTAAAAAATTTACTTGTTCAAACCATGTAAGGAATTCTGAAATTTACATACTTTGCGCTCTTGTCCTTTTGGGGCAACTCCTTCAGGTCCCTCCATGTATATTTCTTCATCTAGTTCATCATTTAAGAATGTTGTCTTAACATTCATCAGGTAAATCTCTGCATGATATATTGAAGGTAAATCTATGAATACCTGGATAGTGGCTATTCTGGCCGCTGGGGTATAGGGTATCAAAGAAGTCTAACATCTTCTATTTGTTTGAAACCCTTAGCTATCAGTCCATCCTTGAACTTCTCAACACTATTTCTTTTTGGAAAACCCATTTAATATTAAGGCTTAGGACCCGGGGTTAAATCAACGATAAATTCTAGTTCTATTGGCAAATACAGAATTTATCGCATCGTTGACTGCTTTCTTCCCTAAGGGAGCACCATGCAATGAGATGAGTTCTTAGTAGCTTTTTACGTTCTTCCTGAAAATATGTTTAAAAGTCAGGTCCAAAGTCAGTTTTCTGACTCTCTTGCTTCCCCTGGTTTATAAATCTTCATGACTATCATCCTCATTATTCCTATGTTCCACATGCTCATCATTCCTGTGTTCTCCATTCTTGTCTTTGTCATGCCCACTAATGAATAAATTTTCAAAAAATTGTGCATCCTTGGACTCCAAAACCCCATTCGAGTCTACATCCAAAAGTTTGTACGCCATGTTTTGCTCTGCATATCCTACAAAAACACATGTAACAAATTTAGTTCCTTTTTTGGGACTCTTAAGTTCACGGAGCCCCATATAGGTAGGAGGATGCAAAACCTCTAGCAATCCTATATAAGGTTTCTTGCCTTTTCAAAGCTCATATCATGTAGCAGTCAATTTAGTAGGTGGAATTGTATTCAAAATCTAGCATGAAGATATTAAGGCCCCTCTGCACAAATTAGCATGGTATTGGAACTGATGAGAATGGTATTAACCATGTCGTGTGCATTATTATTATTATTTTTTCTGTTAAACCAATTTACTTTTGGAGTGTATGGGGCAGTCACATGGTGAATGTTTCTTTTAATTTGAGTAGAAAGATTCATCTTAGTTGATATTTTTTGTTTTCGTGCTATCATCTAATTCTCTTTTTCATTTTTCCCATTTTATATTTGTGATTGAGCAGGAGTATGCCCTGAAGGTTATCACTGAGACAAACGAGTCATGGTCCAAACTTGTCAAAAGATCCCTTCCTTCTGGGGGGCTTTCTCTCGTATGATTGCAAATATCAGCAGAAGTTTGATGCTCGAGGCCTCGAGCTATTTATGCCACTCAATTCTGTGGTGCCCATCTTTTCCCTTTCTGTCAGAAACTATTTTGAGTATTGCTTAGGTTAAGTCTTTTGAATCTGGTTCTTCTTTGTAGGCTCATTCACTGATTTGCTGCGTAGCATGTGGTATAGAGTTGTACGATGCACCATCTATTTTGGCTGTCACTTATTTTTGATACACCTGAAGGTGTACCATGTACATTATTTGGAATCAAATCAATCGCGTTATTATTAATTGTTATCACCATCATCATGAGGGGACTAATTTCCAACACCCACTTTATAATAACCGCATAGGAATTCTGATTGTTCCATACTATTGCTAATGTTCTGGTTGCTGCGATTTTTGTTGTTTATTGTGATGTTGTAATTAAATAATTTTTATAAATATTCCCTATATTTTGAATAATTTAGAAAGTGTCCCCACTATTTCATCTCTTACCATGTCCTACTTTTTTAGAGTGTCATGTTATTTTATTTTTTGTTGTGCTCTTCTCGGATTAAGCTTAAATATTGGGTGTCTATACTTTTTACCATCATGCACCTATGTAAAACTCCAAGAATAATTGTTTGAAACAAAATAGCGTGTCCATAATGTACAAGATGAACACATGACATTTGAATTTAATATGATGTATAGAAAAAACTTAAACTTAATAGACAAGACACTCAAAAAGTGAGACATGACAAAGATCTAAAAAATTGAGGGCATTCTATTTATTCTATAATATATAGGGAAAATTTACAAAATTTTCTCTTTGTAATTATATTTATTGTCAGGCATATTTGGACACTGTCGACATTTCTAGATACAAGGATTTTGAAAAAACATGCAAAGCCATAAGATGGTGTCTGAACCCAGTGCTCCAACGTCGTGGATCTATTGCTGCACTAAACTACATATTAGTGTATGTGAACTATTTTATTATGGGTGTAGTTTGTATAGAGCCTAGGCTCTAAACAATCAAATTAGAGCCTACCTTCAAATAGTATCGAGAAACGTGGTTTCAATATGGGAATTCTCTGTGATAGCTTTAAAATATATTTTCATATTTATTTATAAAGTTTAAAGCTTAAAAAATAGTGTATACCGGTAGATCTATGAAAGCTTGAAAATCTTGAAAATTGACTGTCAAAAAATGTATTACAAAATACACTATTTCCAAAACTTGAAATCTGTTTTTTATCTTATATACATGCATTTTGATGTCAAGATAGTCAATTTGAAGATATTTCGATGTCAAAACAACATCTTCTAGTGAATTTCTTGAGGTGGGCTCAAATTTGATTGTTTAGAGCCCCGACTCTATATAAACTTTTCCCATTTATTATAGGGTACGGTTTGTATAGAGCCTAGGCTCTAAACAATCAAATTAGAGCCTACCTTCAAATACTATCTAGAAATGTGGTTTCAATACTGGAAATCTTTGTGATAGCCTTAAAATATATTTTTATCTTAATTTATAAAGTTTAAAGCTTAAAAAATAGTGTAGATCGACAAATCTACGAAAACTTGTACATATTGAAAATTGACAGTCCAAAAATGTGTTACAAAATACACTATTTTCAAAACTCAAAATCCATTTTTTTTTCGTGTCCATACATCTTGATGTCAAGATGATCAGTTAGAAGATATTTGGGCATCAAAACAACCTCTTTAAGTGAAATTTTTGTGGTGGACTCCAATTTGATACTTTAGAGCCTCGGTTCTATATAAACTTTTCCCTTTATTATATATATGTTATTAAAAGGCGGGTGTGGTTTGTATAAGATTACAACTTTATTTGCAGGAGTAAGGTAGTAATGTTATATGTTTTTCATTTTAGTTGGACGATGTATATTTGACATGTGTTTAAGATAATGTCAAAAAGTGATATAACTTTTAAGATAAAGCCAAATCTATGCCATCCAACGATTATTTTTTCAAGTAAGAGAACAACCTTATATATTATTTTTCTTAAATATTTTACACATAATAATTGAAACTGAAGGAGAAGTTCTATATGATGACTGTAATATCAGTTATGCTTTTATGGGACAAAATGTTAGGCGGTCAAAAAATGACAATACCTATAGAATGAATGTGGATAAGGTGAAGACGTTGAGGTAGATGAGTGACAAGAAAAGAAATGACATAATTTAGAATGAACACATACAAGGGAATTTAAAGGTAGCTCCAATAGACGATAAGATGAGGGAAAATAGATTTTAAGTGGTTTGACAATGTACAATATCGAGCCATCGACCTAGAAAAGCACTGGTTAGGAGTGATATAGTTCAAGTGGAAAACTCTAAAAAGATACTGGTGATTTTCAAAAGGACATGGATAGAAGTAGTGAAAAGAGATATAAACGACTTATGGTTAATTGAAGGTATGCACTTGATAGAGCAGAATGACTAAACATGATTCATGTAGCCAATTGTAACTAGTTGGAATAAGGATTGGAAGATGACAAATATTTATTATCATGGGTAAATCATATTCAAGCATACATCGAATTAAAAGGGGGATTGTTTATACATGAGAGAGAGAACACGGAGCTATGGAGTCGGAGAGACAAGGGTAGGTTCGAGAGAGATATCATCATTATATATCCATCAACTTAATCCTTCAAAGCAAGTTCCAAAACTTAAATGCTCAATATAAATGGTTCACGCACTAAAAATCTTAACGGATTTAAGAGAAGGGTGCGGTTTGTATAGAGCCTAGGCTCTAAACAATCAACTTAGAGCTCACCTAAAAAATTTCACAAGAAGAGCTTGTTTTGATGCTCAAATATCCTCAAATTGATCATCTGAACATCAAGATGCATGAACATGAGAAAAAAATGGATTTCAATTTTTAGAAATAATGCATCTTGTAAGGCATTTTTGGATAGTCAATTTTTAAGATTTTTAAATTTTTGTAGATCTGCTCGATCTACACTATTTTTGAATCTTTAAATTCTAAATATTACAATATATTTTAAAGCTATCATAAAGATTTTCAGTATTGAAAGCACAGATCTCGACACCATTTGGAGGCACACTTTGATTGTTTAGAGCCTGGGCTCTATACAAACTGAGCCCTTGTTTTACTCGATACAATTTCGGAAACAGATAACCGTTTTTCTTTATTAAATTGGTTGGTTAGCACAAATTCATGTTACAGTGAACTGCAATGGCATGTATTATCCTATCGAGCACGTATACTATGTTTCTTTGGGAGAATAGTTTACTTCTACTCCCTCTATTAGATTTTTTCGATCTGAAATTTTGGTAACCATCTTAAAACCAATCGATGGTTATCTCAAAAATAAAATTTGAAATTGAGTTTTCTATCACTTGTATCTCACCCTTTAAAAATTGGAGGTTTTCTATTCATTCTTGAGAGTTTGTCAAACATCTTAACACGCTCTAATCCATTTAATTTGACACTGACATCTAAGGGCCAGTAACTATTGGAACCTCGTTAACATAAAGAGTCTCATAATATGGTAAATACTGTAAAATTCATAAATTCCTTCTAAAATATTAGAATGAGACGAGGAAAGTTTTTGGTAAATGCATAGTTTGTGTACTGATTACCAAGAGTAAACAAAATTCCTATATTTCATCAAGAGCCTTGGAATCAGTCAAAAAAGTGGAAAGCATACATTATGAATTAGTTTGTGTAGTAATTACAGAGACGAGCATGGCACATTTGGTTGGGCTAAGATGAGCAGCAGCTTGATTGAATCGCTTCGCGAAACTGCTCTTCCATTCCAACCTCCTTCGCATTGCCCCAATTCTCTTCCGTTCTGCGCTTTTCGGATTTTCGGCATAAGATTCTCGAGAGACCGAGCTTTACTGCAGGCGCCGATGCCGTTTTCTGCGGCCGTTTATAGCAGAGGAGCAGCATGGCCGCGGTGGGCGACATTCTAGAGAGAGAAAGGAGTAGATCAATACAATTCCAGAGAGAGATAGAGAGGGCGCTTCAGCAAAGGGAATCCGAGCGAATGTGTGGATGAGTTTTGAGAAAACTGTCGAATTATTTAGTAGAGAGAGAGAGAGAGAGAGAGAGAGAGAGAGGATGGATTTATTGAGTTGGATTCGAGGAGAGAGGGAGATGAAATTCAATGGGTAGAGGGAGAGCGCTTAGAAAACCAGGGGCGCGAGACACAGAATAGACCCGCGGGTCGAAGAAGTCATTGAAAACGAGGGGCGCGAGACACGGAAGAATTTAGGGAAACACATTCGAAAGTTCATGTCCTTTCTCTCTCTAGCTCCTCTCTCTCTCTAAGTCTCTCCACCCTTTCTTTTGTGGTCTCTCCCCTTTCCGATCCCCAATTTTATGTCGTCAATTTGCTACTGTCAAAAAAATGCTAATCAATATTTTAAAATGTTCAAATTTTACACTATTTCACAACTCCATGTCAAATAGGAGAAGGGGCTAGACTCCCCATTATTTGCGATGCTCACAATCACGGTTTTTAAAAACATTGATTTAAATTGAAAATTACTTATCCGAATCGGATGTAGTAACAAACTAATCCAATTCTTTTACACGGTGGTTTAAAAAACGGATCGGTGATATCCTAAAAACCGATATGAATCGGCGAATCGACGATTCAGATCGGGAATCGGGCCCAATCGCTCGGATTAAGCTTTAAAAAAATTCAAAAAAGTTATTAAAATTCATTATAAATGTTGTTTTTTAGGAATCCAATAAGAAATGGAGGTACTACATTATTAATTTTCATTGTTTTCATCAATTCATGAATATTGAGATGTTCTTTCCCTGTATGAACTTATGTTGACCATTAAATTTACATTATACAAAAGAAATCATAGTAGCATTATCATGGATTAAGTATATAATCATATATGGACTACAATAAAGAGTTGACTAAATCGATGAAAAATTGGCCACTAAAATCTCGAATTGGCGGAAAACCCTAATCCGCTAAAAAACCCCAAATTATTACAACCTAACTAACTATAATATTATATACCAACAATATTTTATAATTATTTTATTATACAAATAATATCAAATCCAAAATATTTTATAATATCATATAATTTAAAGTGTATTGTTGGCAACTGTAATAAAAATAATACACTACATGATTTATAATACAAAAATTAATAAATAAAATAAAAGATTTAGTTATCATTATAAAAATTATTAGAATGCGTACCAATTCTCTTTAATTTTTTAGGTTTCTAGAATAAATTAGTGGAAGAGATTGTTAGTAGTACTTACTAGAAAGAGAGAGATTT